CCATTCTATATGCATCCGAAGAAGTGGGCTATAGTCCACGAAAGCTTATGCTCTAATAAATTTGTTAGTCTCTAAGGTGCCACAAGTCCTCCTGTTCTTCTCTAAACCATTTTGTTTCAGTTAAATCTCGCGATGAACTAAAATATATGTCTATACATAACTAAGACATTTTTACATCGGGTACATATGTTCAGTCGTATGGTTTATTAACTCATGATGTGCTTTGGGATAAAGTCATTATAAAATTTAAAATGAATTTTGAAATGTCTGTGCTTTATTAGGATCTTGGGATAGGACCACTAGATGAAGATACCCGTTTTAAAGCTGCTGTGTTTAAATTTACTTGGTAATCTAGGATCTTATTTACAATCATAGTGTAAATTAATGCACACATTATGCTGAAGCTGGTCCCAACAGTATAGTTATAATGCTGAGATAAAAGTTCTTAGTTTAAGTGGTGTTTTAAATCTTTATTTTGTTAAAAAAAAAAAAAAGTATTCAAAATTTACATTTACAATTTGATTCTTTCATGGTGGCTTGATGAAAATTGGGTTGATACAGAGAGAATAAGGGATAAAGGAGTTAAGGAGAGCTGGCTGTTTCTCAATGGGACAGTAGTGAAGGCATAATTGCAAACTATTCTGATGCGGAGGTAAAATAGGAAGAATAGGAAAAACAACAAGGAGTCCTTGTGGCACCTTAGGCTTGGTCTACACTACCCCCCTAATTCGAACTAAGGTACGCAACTTCAGCTACGTGAATAACGTAGCTGAAGTCGAAGTACCTTAGTTCGAACTTACCTTGGTCCACACTCGGCAGGCAGGCTCCCCCGTCGACTCCGCGGTACTCCTCTCGGCGAGCTGGAGTACCGCAGTCGACGGCGAGCACTTCCGGGTTCGACTTATCGCGTCCAGACTAGACGCGATAAGTCGAACCCAGAAGTTCGATTTCCAGCCGTCGAACTAGCGGGTAAGTGTAGCCAAGGCCTTAGGCTTGGTCTACACTACCCCCCTAATTTGAACTAAGGTACGCAACTTCAGCTACGTGAATAACGTAGCTGAAGTCGAAGTACCTTAGTTCGAACTTACCTTGGTCCACACTCGGCAGGCAGGCTCCCCCGTCGACTCCGCGGTACTCCTCTCGCCGAGCTGGAGTCGACGGCGAGCACTTCCGGGTTCGACTTATCGCGTCCAGACTAGACGCGATAAGTCGAACCCAGAAGTTCGATTGCCAGCCGCCAAACTAGCGGGTAAGTGTAGCCAAGGCCTTAGAGACTAACAAATTTATTTGGGCATAGGCTTTCGTGGGCTAAACCCCACTTCATCAGATACATGGAGTGGAACATACAGTAGGAAGGTGTAAATACGCAGCATATGAAAAGATGGGAGTTGCCTTACCAAGTGGGGGATCAGTGCTAACGAGCCAATTCAATTAAGTTGGAAGTTGCCTATTCTCAACAGTTAACAAGAAAGAATGGAAATCACTTTTTTAGTGCTAATGAGGCCAATGTAAACAAGATGGCCCATTTCAAACAGTTGAAAAGAAGGTGTGAGTATTTAGCAAGGGGAAATAAGTTTTTGTAAAAACAATGAGGAGTATTTGTGGCACTTAGAGATTAACAAACTTATTTAGTTTTTGTAGTGACCCATCCACTCCCAGTCTTTATTCAGGCCTAATTTGATGGTGTCCGGTTTGCAAATTAATTCCAGTTCTGCAGTTTCTTGTTGGAATCTGTTTTTGAAGTTTTTGTTGTTGAAGAATTGGCACTTTTAAGTCTGTTATTGAGTGACCAGGGAGACTGAAGTGTTCTCCTACTGGTTTTTGGTTATTATAATTCCTGATGTCAGATTTGTTTCCATTTATTTTTTTGCGTAGAGATTGTTCGGTTTGGCCAATGTATGTGGCAGAGGTGCATTGCTGGCACATATCACATTAGTAGATGTGCAGGTGAATGAGGCCCTGATGGTGTGGCTGATGTGGTTAGGTTCTATGATGGTGTCCCTTGAATAGATATACGGACAGAGTTGGCACTGGGGTTTGTTGCAGGGTTTGGTTCCTGGGTTAGTGTTTTTGTTGTGTGGTGTGTAGGTCCTGGTGTATATTTGCTTCAGGTTGGGGTTGCAGGTCTGTAAGCGAGGACTGGCCTGTCTCCCAAGGTCTATGAGAGTGAGGGATCGTCCTTCAGGATAGGTTGTAGATCCTTGACGATGCGCTGGAGAGGTTTTAGTTGGGGGCTGTAGGTGACGGCTAGTGGCGTTCTGTTACTTTCTTTGTTGGGCCTGTCTTGTAGTAGGTGACTTCAGGGTACTCTTCTGGCTCTGTCAGTCTGATTCTTCACTTCACCAGGTGGATAGTGCAGTTTTAAGAATGATTGAGAGAGATTCTGTAGGTGTTTGTCTCTGTATGAGGGATTGGAGCAAATGCGGTTGTATCTTAGAGCTTGGCTGTAGAAAATGGATTGTGTGATGTGATCTGGATGAAAGCTGGAGGCATGTAGGTAAATATAGCAGTCAGTGGGTTTCTGGTATAGGGTGGTGTTTGTGACCATCACTTATTAGTACTGTAGTG